AAGCTGCTAAAAAATCAACACGATCGAACGCCTTGCCTGCAATGGAAGCGCAACTCTCAACGTTGTCAACATTGTTGAAAAATTTTTCAACACTTTCATCTTCCTTCAAATGTTCATCCTCTTTGTCAATTAATTTGAAACTAGCGCTAATCTCGCTGCTGGCATCAATCTTCTTAAGTAAACATTTATATCCATCTGTAACACTGCTATCTGTAGTAGTAGTACTAGCAGTAGCACCCGCTGTATCATTTGTATCATTGGTAGATATAGTAGTATCAGTTTTTGTGTTAGTATCAATTGTATCGTTGGTAAATATAGTAGTGTCAGTTGTGTTTGTATCAATTGTATCATTAATATCAACACCGGTTTTCTTGTAACCAATTGTTGTAAAGGTTGATACAATGCTGTCCGCCTCGTTAGCATTTTTTGAAGATGTTGTGACGGCAGTAGCAGTAAAATTACTAGATATTGTAGTAGCAGTAATAGCAGTAGTTTCAGTAGTAGTGGCTGTAGTGGTAGCTGCAGTAAACGAAACAGGGGTAGTGGTGGTATAAATAGGATTAACAACTGTAATGTTGTCGCCATTTGCAGTGGGTTCAGTAGCCGCAGATGTGATGATACATTTTAAGTTTAATTTTTTTATATTATCATTACCACTACTAATATTATCGCCAGCAACAACAGCTTTCTTATTCTGACAACCTCCAATGACGTCATCATCGTTCCTTCTTCCTTTACCTTCATCGTCATCCTTTCTTCTTTCATCCTCACTATCATTTTTCTTCCCTATGTTATCGAACCACCAAACTTTGGATCGGGATCGAGTTTTCGGATTGTCGTTGTATACCGATAGAGATCGGCTAATTTCGACCGGAACCGAATCTCCGGCGACTAAAATCGGTATGGAATTTTTGCAATTTTTCTTGTAGCAGCAGGTAAAACAATGAACAACATTGTTGTTATGATTATTATTGTTGTTGTTGTTGCTGCTGTTTTTGTGTTTTTTATGATTGTTGTGGCGACATTTAGAGATGGGCTGACCGTATTCGCTATCTTCGTCATCGAAATCGAATGAAAATGCGAATGATTCGTTATTGGTCGTCTGCTGTTTTTGGCTCAACTTATACTTGAATCTATTATTCATATGATCGAATTTGTTTTCAGCACTTCCGTCATTACAATTTCGGCTATTTTTATTAATTTCAAATTTATTATTATTTTTAATATCGTCAAATCTGGAAAACGTATTAACATTCAACACGTTCCTACTGTCAAGACCACCACCACCACCATCACCACTAACTCCTCCACCATCATCATCATCAACATGACATTCCACGTCCTTTCTCCTCATCATCATCATCACCCCCCTCCGACGCCAGGTATTTGCTATCCGACCGAGTACCGGTTCGTTTCGGTTCATCTCTGCTGTCGTCTCTTTCGGGTTGAACTTGCTGAAGCTGAACTTGGAGCGTTTCGTATCGATATCGTCCGGTTTATTAATACTTTTATTATTATTATTATTATTGCTATTATTGTTCTTATTATTATTATTATTATTTTTATTATTATTCATTTTTACGAGTTCGATCCTCTTTTGAGTTCGCCGCCTAATCGAGCGCTTCCTGTAATTTATGATCAAACCTGTCGGAGGGTCCCATCAATGGAATAATAATAATAATAATAATAATAATAATAATAATAATATGAATAATTATAAAAAATAATATTAATATAAATAATAATTAATAATGGTAATAATAATAATAATGGAAACACAATTTAGTTCACTTGTGCCAAAATAAGAAACAAAATGATAAAAAGAAACGTCTCATCATGAATCATATTGAAAAGTATTTGAAATAAAAATAATAAAATAATAATAATAATAATAGTAATAATAATAATATTAATATTAATAATAATAATAACCAGCGTTGAAAAAGCCGAGCAGAAAACATGGAAGTACGAATGTTGTGAAAAGGTAGGCCTGGTTGATGTAATATTCCTGGTAGAGATCCGATTCACCCAAGATTGTGCGGCAAAACTGAACTTCAATCTCGGTTTCGTTGTTGTTACTAATGTTATTGTTGTTGTTGTTGTTGCTGATGTTATTGTTGTTGATGTTATTGTTGTTATTGTTGTTGTTGCTGATGTTGTTGTTGTTGTTATTGATGTTATTGTTGATGCCATTGTCTTCAAACTTGCTGATGCTTCCGGCGTTACTACTGTTGTCCACAAAATCGTCGTCGTGGTAGTTGTTAATAAAATTGTCGTTAACCACACGTCTGATATTTTTTTTGTCTGTAATATTTACATTAACCGAGCTATTCGACTGATCGGTTTTATAACATAGACTCGTATCGAAATACCTAGGCAGGTTGTACAGCACACAAAATACCGACACGGCAATCAGACTGACGCGAGCTCTTTGAAGGGTGCACAACCTAGGACCTTTGTGAGGGAAACAAATCATAAGCCACCTGGAGGCAGCGTTCAAAACGGTGGTCCAGTAGGTAGCCATCTGGGCAATGTAGCAGGATTGGTGGAGGTAGAGCCGGGTTCGAAGCCAAATGTAGAAAAATGTTGACGGTTGTGGTGATGGTTGTGATGATAGAGATAATGATAAAGAAGAAGAAGATGGTGATGGTGTTGAAATTAATGATGAAAATGACTGAAAGAGATTTGAACGATTAGTGCCATTTAGGCTGCTGATGCTTTTGCTGATGTTTTTATAAAAAGTTTGGTGGACGTTATTTATTTGACGGCCTCGAAAAAACGCGAAACTATCGTTAGAAGTTGATGATGGAGACAGTTTAGAAGGCAATGACGACGACGACGACGATGATGATGACCACCAAACATTCGCAGTGCCATCATCAGTAGTAACATTACCATAGAAACCACCATTTTTCGCCGAATCACCATGAAAATGATCACCATCATGGTGATCTCCGAGAAGTAGTTTTTGCTGGTCTGGTAAGTTCAAGTAGTCAACAAGCGCCGGAAGTGAGTAAGACACGAAGATGGTAACGAGGAACAGAGTATCCACAACAGCGATTGCTCTGTTGGGTGGGATCATGAAGATGATGGTGATGACGAGAACGACGATGATGATGGTGAAAACGCTTGAGTGTTTGAAATGATATAGTGATTACAAGATGTATGATATAACAAGATAAATGATAAAATGATGATAAGACACATGATATCAAGATACATGATATCAAGATAATATGATAATAAATTTATTATGTAATGACAATAAGATACGATAATGAAATACATGACATAGGATAGTAAAAATATGATATACGATACTAAGATATATGACATTAAGATATGTGGTATGATGAGAATCACATATATGAAAATAAATTCAGATATATGATATCAAGAAATACAATGTTAGATACTAAGAATGTGGATGATTGTGACGATGACGATGATAATACGGATAGAAGTCGTCATTATAATGATGAAGATGATGGTGAAGACGACGACGACAATGATGTAATAATAACGTTAATGCTTATAACGGTTATGGGATTCTAGAAATGACAAATGCGAGCAAGACAACTGTTTAGACTTGATTTTGAAAGATGGCGATGACGACAACGATGATGATGATGATGATAATGATGATGATGATAATAATGATGATGATAATGATGATGGTGATGATGATGTGAAGATGATGATGATGTGACGATGATGATGATAATCATGATGATAATGCAAAACTGATAAGGATGATGTCAATTATGGATGGTCACAGCGGAAATGATGATGAAGCTGATAACACTGATGACGTTGTCTCGCGACAATGATGACAAATGTACGAGAATTAGGACTATGTAGACGACGACGATGATGATGACGATTAAACAGTAATAATAACAACAAAGATCGCGACAAAATGATGAAGATAAAGTTGATGGTGGTGTAGTCAATAAAGAGGATGACAAGAATGATGAAGACGATGGTGTGAAAGATATAGATGATGACAAATGGCGAAGATGATGATGTGACCAACAAAGATGATGACGAGAATGATGACCAGAAAAAATAAATTTGATGGCAGATTTATGGCCGTTATTAAACTTAATCTTGAATTTTTCACACAGCGGAAATGAATTTTTGTAATAACGCCTTCTAAGGTAATAATGATGAAAGTTGTTGAAATAATTACGATGATGCTAAGGCTACTACTTTTACTACTGCTACTGCTGCTGCTGGTGGTGACGATGAACATGAAATAGGTGATTCTGATAACGATCTTAATGATGATGATGATAGTGATGATGATGATGAAGAATTTTTTATAACGCTATTGATGTCAACATCACCGTTCTCACCAGAAATTTCATCATAATTATATTTTTTGATCATCATCATCATATTTTTCATCATCATCATCATCATATTTTTCATCATCATCATCATCATATTTTTCATCATCATCATCATCATATTTTTCATCATCATCATCATCATCGTCATCGTTATCATCATCATCATCATCATCATCATCATCATCATCATCATCATCATCATCATCATCATCATCATCATCATCATCATCATCATCATCATCATCATCATAGTCATCATCACCTCAGCATGAGATTGGCCACCGGTCTGGTTGTTTGATCTTTGGCGATGATGACGTAGCACATTACATTGGTGATAGTGCCCACGAAGCAGAGAATCGAACCTGTAAAAATGACGTCATCATGCTATCATCGTGCCAACATCACGCCACCATCAGCCCGTTATAACTTTCAACATGGACAAATTCGCTTCCAACACACGCAAATTTAAATTACTGCTATTTGTAAAGCCGGTCTAATTACCATCGTTGTCATCCATCTAAAACATTTTCATTGTCATCATCTTTACCATCATTGCATTTTAGTCATCAGCATCCTCTTCACCACCGTCATTCTCATCATCACCATTACAATCCTGAAAATCATCGTCACGTCATCAGCACAATTGCCATCATCATCATCGTCATCGTCAACAAACAACACTATCATCATCATCATCGCCATCGTAATCACCATCCCCTTTATATATCACCATCATCGTCATCGTCGTCACAATCATCATCATCTTCAACAAACAACACTATCCATCATCACAAACACCATCATCGTCGTCGTAGTCGTCATCATCATCAGCGGCTGCCACATCATCGGCTGCGACAGCAGCCACATCAATTACAAACCTAAAACTGTCCGGCTGAAGAGTTGAGATGTGTACACGCATTCATCGCTATACCCTTCGTTGTTGGTGTTGTTGTTGTTGTTGCTGCCTGTGATGTTACTGTTGTTGTTGTAGCCGTTGTAGTTGCTGCTATGGCTGCTAGTGTGGTTGATGCTGCCGCCGTAGATACTGCTACTACTACTACTGCTACTGATGTTGCGTCTGTAGTTTTTGTTGTTAGCTTTTTTGTTGTTACAAGTGCCGTTGTTACTAGTGTTGTTGTTGTTGTTGTTGTTGTTGTTGTGTGGAAAAGTTTTGATAGTATTGAATTTATTTTTAATAATCGCCAAAGAAATATACAGCGTCTTATTATTAATATTCGTTATGTTATTATTTTTATTTTTATAATCAGAAAGAGTAATAGTTGCAGTAGTAAAAGTAGAAAAAGTAGTATTAGTAGTAGTAGTTGTTGTTGTCGTAGTGGTGGTGGTAGTAGTAGTAATACTATTATCAATTCTGCTATTCCTCTTAGAGATGCTTGCTTTCTTGCCAGCAAAATTTGTGTTGCTACCAGCGTTACAGATAGTATTAATGCATGTTGGGCTATTTTTATTTGTGATAATGTTCACATTAACCGAAAAAATCTTTCCAACGTTAATTTTATCAAAAATATAGTTGGTAGTATTAGTAGTAGTCGTAGAATTACCAGCAGTCGCAGTAGTAGTAGTAGTAGTAGTAGTAGTAGTAGTAGTAGCAGTAGTAGTAGCAGTAGTAGTAGTTGTTGTTGTAGTTGTAGTAGTAGTTGTTGTTGTAGTTGTAGTAGTAGTAGTAATATCCGTAGTAGTAGTAGAAGCTTTCGTTACTTCTGTAGTAGTAGCTTTATCGGTAATAGTAGCTGTAGTATAGGTAGCAGTTATAGCATTATTAATAGTATTATAAAACGTAGCGGTAGTAGTAGTAGTAGTAACAAAAGTTATAGCAGCAGCAGTTATAGTAGTAACATCAGAAGCAGCCGGAGTAGCAGTAGTAGTAGAAGTAGTAGTAGTAGCAGTAGTAGCAGCAGTAGTGGTAGTTGTAGTATTAGTAGTACTGTCAATATTTACACAATCGATGGTGGTAGTATTAATACTTATCGTTAACATATTCGGGGTATTGGTGAGTAGTCTCAAACAGGGCCATATTTGTGAACTTTTATTGCGGAGAATTATTTTATTAATTCTATTATTATTATTATTATTTTTAATAATATTGTTTTTATTCTTATTCTTATTTTTATTCTTGTTCTTGTTGTTGTTTCTGTTGTTGTCATTACTATTGTTATTGATGTTGTTGCGATTATTATTCTTATTATTTTTATCCGTGGCCATAAGTGTTGTCACGGCCGGGAGCCATTCATAACTTTGAAATGGCGACAACGACGATGTTGTTGTCGTCGTTGTTGATGATGATAATGATATCATTGATAGAAAAGTAATAACCACCACCACCATCATCATTATCGTGGCCGACATCATCATCATTATCGCCCAGTTGGCTCGCATGCAAATGTTTTCCGCGGACATATTAATTGAACAAAACAATGAGAGAGAACATCGCGGCTGATGACGACGATGAGGATGATGCTGATGATGATGTTGATGATAATGATGATGATGATGATGATGATGATGACTACGACAACAATGATACAAATCGATATTAAAAATACAAAAATGTTAATATTGGAAGTTCCACAAATTAATGATGAAAGTAAGAACGATGACGAAGATGATGACGAAGATGATGGCGCCGAAACGATGAGGATAACAACAAAAGCAATGATAAAGTTAGTAAAAATTGATGTTGATGATAACGTCACTGATGATGATGATGATGATGATGATGATGGCAATGATGATGACGAAGACGACGATGTTGATTTTTTCAAGTGCGACGCTGACTACAGCCCTCTTTTGTCTGCAATAAAAATTGTAAATAGTTGTCACTCAAATATTATTAATATAAGGAATATTATTACGAAGTTATTATTAATATTATTATGGAATTATAGAGAATTGTTGGGTTGTTATAACATTTGCATGTTTGAGGTAGTAGTCTGTAGCAGCAGCAGTTGTACAAGCAATACCAGTAGTAGTAGCAGTATTAGAAGCAGCAGTAGTAGCAGTAATAGTAGCAGTAGTAGTAGCAGCAGTAGTAACAGTAGTAGTAGCAGTAGTAGCAGCAGTAGTAGATGGTGAAGTAGTAGCAGCAGTAGTAATAGCAAAAACAGTAGTAGTAGCACCAGTAGCAGCGCTAGTAGCAGCATCAGTAGCCGCAGTAGTAGTAGCAGTTGTAGTAACGGCGACAGGAGTATTGAATAAAAAGTAGTTAGTGTTGTTTGATGGCCCACATTGGGGAGTCATTTTTACGCGGGCTTTATGCTTCGGTAAGTGCGACCCAAAAGTGAAAAACGCGCTTCTCAGTGAGTAATGTTAGTAAAATAGTAATGTATGCTTTTTTTATTCCAAATTTCTATCAGCAAAGCCAGATAATCAAAAAAGACAAGCTCCAGCAGATTTACCGAAACTAATGTGAAATGGAATTGCTAATAAAAGTAACGCTAGTAACTTTAGTAATGTAATTATGTTAGTAATGGTCGTAGCAGTTACTTAGTAACTTCATTAAAAGCTATAGCAGCTAAAGTAGTAGTAGGAGTGTAGTAGTAGTAGTAGGAGTGTAGTAGTAGTAGTAGCAGAGTTGTAGTAGTAGTAGTAGTAGTAGTAGTAGAGTAGTAGTAGTAGTAGTAGTAGTAGTAGTAGTATTAGTAGTAGCAGCAGCAGTAGTAGTAGTAGTAGTAGCGGCGTCACAAATGTTAATCTTACTGGTACAGTCATCCATCTTTGCGTCATCATAAATCAGCATCGTCATACGATAATGTCGGAATGTTTATTTAGGCATCAACTTCATCATCTTCGCAATCATCATCATAATCATCAGTGTAACTATCATCATCATCAGCGTCGTCATCATCATCATCATCATCATCATCCTCGTCATCATTATCCTGGCAGTCTTAATTGGTTTTTGTTGCGAAAACGTACAAAGCCACTCCATAGAATCAATATTACCATCATCATAACCATCATTATCATCATCATCCTCATTACTATCATAACCATCATCATCATTATCATAATTAACTCCTCACATCTACTCATTAATCGTAGCTCACACACACACACACGCACACACACACATACAAAAACACACACATACGTACAGATACACACACACGTACACACACACACGCACACACCTATGTTTTCTTAGTATGATGGATGTTGACATTGAATTAAATAAATTTAACTCTATGAAAGAATGATGAATGAATGGCTGAAGGAATGAATAGATGAATGAATCAAAGAAAGTCAGTGATGAATGAATGTATGATTGAATGAACAAATGAACGAAAAAATTAAATAACTGAACCAAAACGAGCCAAAAACAAAACAAAACAAAACAAACAAACAAACGTATGAATGAATGAATGAACAAACGAAAGAACGAAAGAATAATTGCAAGAACGAACAAACGAACGAACGAACGAACAAATAAAATAAAAGAATGATTTTTCCTACTACTTTACTCAACACCCTTCATCTTGAAACAAATCTTTCAAACTCCCACTCTCTCCACTACTCAAATTTAACAATTCATATCGACCTCCGCGATAAGAAAAATTGAAGAAAATTCTTTTGCAGCCCCATAAATGTTTGTACACATAATTCAGTCAGGTCGCTGAACTCAGCGCTATATAATTTAATCTCGTCGCCATGGAGAACCTATTATATTGATAATGGAGTCAACGATGACGACGACGACGATGATAAAAATGGTGATGGTGATGATGAAGAAAAGAAGATGAAAAAAAGAAGAAGATGTTGAAAAGGTGAATGAAGAAAAGATGAAGAGGAAGAGGAGGAGGAGGAGGAAGATGATGACAACGACGTCATGATGGTGATTGTGATGAAGATGAAGATGAAGATGATGAAAACTATTACTGCTGCTGCTGCTGGCTGATGCTGATGAAGATGATGTTGATGATGAAGATGATGATAAAAAGTAAAACAACGAGATAATAGTGATAAAAGTTATCACCAAATGATAACAATTATGATAATGCCTTTAGATGATAACAGCGTTACATTGACAATCCAGGCAAGCTGATCGATACGAACACGGGGCAAAAATCTATCACTCATTCAATGTTCTAAATTGGACATCTGGTACTCCTTATAATGTATTTCCGCTGTGTTTATGGTGTATTTTGAGTTTTTTTTGTTGCAATTTGGGTGTTTTTATGGTGTATTTTGTATATTGTGCATAAGTATGCATGTATGATTTTGGAAAGTATTAGTATATGCATGTATGTTTAGTATGTAGAATGCTGTATGAATGTGTTTATACAAATGATGTTTGTTGGTTTGTGTACGTACAAATTTTGAATACGTCGGCAATCTGCGAAGAGTTGTGCGAGCTTATCCTTTAAATTCTCTTTAATAATTCAGTTCAGGTGCGTTTTTGTTTGCGCTTGTTTGTCTGTATGTATGCATTTTTGTTTGTATGTATGTATGTTTCTGTGTTTGCATGTATGTATGCATGCATTCATGTATGTATGTATGTATGTATGTATGTATGTATGTATTTTTGTTTGTTTGTATCAATCGTTATCATTATTTTTGTTTGATCCTATGTTTATTTGGATATAAGTGTAATGTCATTTTTTTGTGATCGCATACTCGAATGCTTTTGTGTGCGTGCGTGAGTGAGTGAGTGAGTGAGTGAGTGAGTGAGCGCCATTAGAATTGCTATCATACATAGTCTACATCATCCTCATCCTCATCGTCGTCAAAGCTATTACTTATAATATATATGTTTATTAACCTGTCAATCAAACACCGTACGAATGTGCTGGCGTGTATGCATTCGTTTGTATTACCATATCTCACGGATTTCTTGTCGGTTTTGACAAGAATCCAAAGATTACGGAATGAAATTTGAATAATTATATTATTTAAAATTACATATTTAATATTATTATATTGGAAGTAATAAATTGAATTATCTATTTTTTAAGAGAAACTATATTTTAATAAATTTTTGGGTTCTTATGGACGTTTCTTTCGGTTGTCATCAAATTCTTCAAAGGTTTTTAGTTATTTTTTCTGTTTTTAGCTTTATTTTTTCAATTTTTTTCTCGGTTTGTTGGTTGAGAAATTTTACTTCAAAGTCATTTCAACATACATACAAGTGAACATACAAGTGAACAAACAAACAAACAAACAATTAAATATACAACCATATGCATATACATACTGTTGTAGGTGCCTTAAAGTTTGATTATGCAACACCAATTTCAAACGATCTTCATTGGTTAAATGTTAAATGGATGCCTGTTTCAGCATTTGATGGAGAAGTTTGACAGAAAATCAACTGCTTTGAAAGGCGTTTAACTGAGGTCTCATGATCTAAATCTGATGGCCGTTAATAGGGCACAATTGAATATAGAAGCAAGAAGCCTATCTGTTGCTGGGCCGACACTTTGGAATGCGCTGCCAAAGTCATTGAGGGAATTGGGATTGAGTACTGATAAATTTTAAAAAAAGTTTAAAAATTCAGTTATCGTTATTGAACTAACTGTGTCGTACGAAGATATCATGCTCAGAGCCACGATGTAAAAACTGCAAAGTATGAACAGCCGATTCATGATTTAAACAAGAGAGGATACAAAACCAGGTTGTACGCTGTTGAGGCTGGTGCAAGAGGAACAGTGGGAGCACCGATGTGTGCACTTTCCAAATAGTTGGGACTGTCAGGCAGGAATCGTGCATGAAAAAAGTTATTAGTAGCGCAGAGCATAAATAAATACATACATACAAACAAACATACATAAAAACAAACAAACAGGCATGCCTGCATACATACAAACCTACTTTCAAAAGTACATACAAAAGTACATACATACATAAAATGTTTGTTTACGTTTTAGTGTAATATTCATTTTTTCGACAATAAAGTCTAGATAACCAAAACTCTCTATCTCTCTCCTCCCTCTTTCACTTATGCATTATTAAGAGATGCATATATGTATGTGTGTGTGTGCGTATGTGTATGTGTGTTTATGTGTGTGTGTGTGTGTG